TGTCAGCCCAGCACTCTGGGAGGCTGAGGCAGGAGGACTTCAGTTTCCAGCCAAGCCTGGGCAACTCAGCAACTTAGCCAGACCCTGTCTAAAAGTTTAAAAGAAAAAATGTTTTCCATTTTTTGCTTTTGTTTTGTTTTGATTTTTTGAACCAGGGTCTCACCGCGTGTTCAGGCTCACCTTAAACTCCCTGTACAGCCAAGGCTGGCCTCGGAGTCCCAGTGATCCACCTGCCTCAGCCTCCAGAGCGCTGGGATCGCAGCCCGCGCCACCATGCCTACCAAAAAAGAAGGTTTTAAAAATTGAAAGTGGCTAAGGGTGCGAAGGCCCTGGGTTCAGTCCCGAGTCTCGCACACACACGCATGCGCGGCTGTTATGGTTTCCTTCCTGGGGCGGTGCCGAAGTCTCCGGGGGTCTCCGGCGATACACCGTGGGAGCCGCACTGCTGTGCCACAGGCGGCGTGGGGGGCTGTGTGGGGTGGGGAGCCGGGCCTGGGACTGCAGGGAGTGCTGGACAGGCGTCCAGGATGCCGAGCTGGGCCCCCCACTAGTCAGTCAACACGCGAGGCGGACCGAGGCAGCGGGAGGCTGCGAGTTGTGGCCCCTGGCATCTCTCTCTCCGGCAGTCTCTCTCCCTCCTCCCTTAGAGCTTCTCACACGCTGAGCGCATGCTCTACCCTGAGCTACACCCCAGGCTTCTTTCCACCATTTACTTTTCCTGTTTATGTTTTGGGGTTTGGGGGGGCAGCAGAGATCCAACGCGGGACCTTGTGCTTTTGAGGCAGGCCAGGAACCGCTGAGCTAAATCCCCGCCCCCCCTGTTAATAGGTTTTTAAAGACACTGGCTTGCTTTATGGCCTCAAACTCAAAGTGATCCTCCCGCCTTGTAGAGGAGAAAGTTACACCGGGACACGGATTGAACAGGAACTGCAGCTGTGGTTCCGCACGGGGAGCCAAGACTCAGAAGGTCAAGGCTGCACACGGTCCTGAGAACCATCCGGTAACATTCTGGGAACGGTCTGTTTTGAGAAAGTAGCTGAATAACTAGAGCCAGGAGTTCATAAAAATATTTCCTAATGCTTTGCTAGAGATAATCTGTAAGGGACTAACTGTTTATTCTCATGGAAGTACTGTGCAGGTATCTAATAAAAACCGAGGTTGGTAACAGTTGGCTACAATTTGCCTGTGAGAACTTCAGCCCTCTACTCCTTGGCAAAACCACATTCCTGCTGTCTGAGCCTGGGTCACAAGTGAGCGTCACCACACCCAGCGTGTGATGCCTTTTGTACCAGGCTCTGTCTTTGGAAGCCCAGGTCTCCCGTGTCATCTCCAGAGCTTGGCTCACATCTCAGCAGAAGGGTCACTCTTGGGACAGCGTGTGAGAGGCCGCAGCCCCGCTGGTGACGCTGGATGGCATGGGGCGCCCGCTCCTGCACCTCCTTTGCTCGCCCGGAAAGAACCCAGCTGCTCAGGCCAAGAGCATGGTGCCCCTGACTTCTGATTTTGATTTTCATTTTCCTGGTAAGTTAAAACATTAAAAACAGCCAGGCACAGTGGCACACACCAGTAATCCTAGTCTTTGTCTATTTCCACTTTTGTAGCGTGAACTTTTGGTGTCACGTCTAAAAAAATCATTGCCCGGACCAATGTCGAGAATCTTTCCCCAGGGCTGAGGCAGGAGGATCGCAAGTTCAAGCCCGACCTAGGCAACTTAGTGACTTAGCAAGTTTTGGCCTCAGAAAGTAAAACGAGCTGGGTATGAAATTCTGTCTGAAGGCCCTGGGCTCAATTTTAAGTACTGAAAAACGAAAAAGAACCCTTTCCCCTATTTTCTTCTAGTTGTTTTACAACTTCAAGTCTTTTTAAAAAATTAATTCAGTTTATTGGTACAATTTAGATGCTCTTGTATTTAATTCATTTTGAATTTGTTTTTGTTTTAGGCTGAGAAAAAGGTCCAAATATGTGCTCCTGTGGGAGTCCCTCAACCCCACGTCCACATGAAGGAGAACATGTGTCAAAAATCAGTGAATTTATAAATGGGCTTTCTATTCCGTTCCTTTGAGCTACATGTTTGTTTTTATGTCAGTAACTTACTGGTTTGATTACTGTACTTTGCAATACTTTATATTCAACCACCTCTCCTTGCCCCCGGCATGGGGATTGAACCCAGAACCTTGTGCCTCCTAGGTAAGTGTTCTACCACTGAGCTGTATCTCCATTCCAAGATGTAAAGTATGCTTTGTTGTCCTTTGTTTGTTCAGGGCCTTCAAGCTGAGCTACATTTCCAGTTCTTTTTCTGATCTTTATTTTGAGATAGGGTCTCACTAAATTACCCATTCTGGGTTCAAACTTTCAATCCTCCTGCCTCAGCCTCCCGGAATGCTGGGATCCCAGGTATGCACCACCACACAGGGCTGCAATGAATTTTAATAAATTTCTACCAGACAACACAGTCATGATCCCATTCCTGATTATATGTAGAAAACCTCTATGTTTATAAATATAACTGCATGTGAAGTGAAGGGGCAAGGACCCATGGGTGGGACGAATGTAAAGCGGTCATTCCTGGAGGCAGGGATCACAAGTATCTATTGTTAAACTCCTCCTAGGGTCTGGGACTTAGCTCAGTGGTACCACGCCTGCCTCTCAAGCACAAGGACCCGAGTTCCATCCCCAGTACCAAAAGCAAAAACAAAACAAAACAAAAAACTCCTATAAATTTTCTGACAACAGTACATTTCATGGATCTTACCTGTGTTACACAAATTAACAACAGCAAATCTACTAATTTTCCTTCCCTTTTTATATTTCTCATGTCTCGTTTTAGTGACTAGCAGGATTTGGTCGTCTAGTTGTCATCTAAGACGTCCTGAGCCCCAGGCAGGCAAAGTGAAAAGCCAGTGTTTTTAGCAGACACCTGGTGGGTTACTGGGATGAGAAAAAAGGCGGATCTCTGCCTTCATACTGCGTCCTGGCTTTGCTACCTGGACCCCTGGGCCAGGTCTCTATTCAGCTTTGAACATCTGAGAGATGGTTTGCTGGGAACTACCTCGCGGGAACTCAGCCTTGACCTAGCCAGCCTCTCTCCTTTGCCTTCAGGTGAAAGCCACCTCCCAGCTGCCATCACCACGAACACCAGGCCCTGAAAGGAGGGGAGGGAGGAGGCCGACTTCCGGGAAGCTCCAGCTTCTCCCGTGGAGAGCCCAGTGTTCCTCCCCTCATGTCTCCCTGTCGTTCCGTTACTCCTATCCTCTCTGTTGCTCAGAAAGCCCTGGCATGGACAAACTGATCTGCAGCAGTTTCTCGTTCATTCTTTGGCCTCGAATAAGGCCTTCTTTTCCTTTGCCTGGCATTTCCCGGAAGGAGACTCCCAAATGAAAGTCAGGGATAAAGGAGGTGGGTGGGGCGGCCCAGGCGATTCTCAGGACTCGGATGTGGACCTTGGGCTCCTGGAGGAGAGGATGGACTCTAGGAGCAGCACGCGATCGCAACTCCTCCTGGCAGCCCACCCTGCGCAGGGTGCACCTTTATTTTTGCTTTTATCTTTTCTTTTATTTTTCCCTTACCCCTTCACCCCTCACCTTTGAAATAAACTTCTGACACTGTTTTTGGCTTGGCTCATCCAATGCTTTGTTTGAGACAAGAAGGGCCTATAATACTTCTTTTTTGGTAAGTAATTTCTAAAGGAATTACCCAGCAACAAAAGTGTTACTGGGGTCCTGGGATGCTTCGCGCTCTTTCCGGGAAGCCTTTCCAGTTTCTTGTCCTGAACAAAGAATGAATCAAGTCACGCACAAAAGGTACCAAGGTTTCACATTTTGTTGTTGCTTATTTTATTGGTACATTTTAGATATACATAATGATCACATCATAGGGGTTTGTACCTGTACTTGAAAATCTTGCTTCTTTTTTCCCCATTCCTCTCCTTCAACCCCTCTACCCCTCTTTATTTACAAAAGCATCGTTTCCATTTTTTCCTTCTAGTCTCTTTTTCTTTTCTTGTCCCTTCTTTCCTTTAAGGTTTGACACGTATTAAGCGCAGGGAAAGGAGTACGCGTTGCAGGGTGAGGGCCAGCCCCTGAAAGAGCCACAGCCGCGAGGTTACCGGCCAGTCTTATGTGATCTCAGACGGAGGGCAGACCTAAGCTATTCTACTAAAAATCTGCTTGGTCTCGCGCCAGAATTTAAGACAGCACTTTCTGGTTGGCTTCCGGGGTAGAACTTGGAAACTGTGCTGTATGAGTCCTGCATCTCTGGTGTCCTGATCACCGTGATTGACAGATCACGACCCCCTGCCCAGCCAGCTGGCCATGCCTCAACCTCCAGCTACCTGGCCTCCAGACTCCCCCTCAGGTGAAACAAACCCAGTATGGCTGCTTGGCCTCCTGCGGAGGGTGCCCAGTTCAGCCAAGGACAACAAGCTGGGGAGGCCTCAAGAACTTGATAGACAGCGCGTGTGTGGGAGGGGCTAGGGATTGACCTCAGGGCCTTCACTCAGAGCTACGGCATTGGCCCTTTTAATTTTTTTTTTTTTTTTTGAGACAAGGTCTGAGCAAATGGCTAATTTGCCCAAGCTAGGTTTGAACTTGTGATTCTCCTGCCTCAGCCTCTTAGAGTGCTGGAATTACAGTGTGCGCCACCTGGCGTTGGGCTCCTTTTTTGTCGTCCGCCAGAAGAGGGTCTGGGAAGGCGATCTGGAGACCAGCTGCCGGATCGGCTGAGGGCCAGTTCTGTCTTTGCAGGAGCCTCGCTCGGGAATGTCCAGTCTCATGCTGTGCTCCTCGCTGGCCCGCTCGCAGGTGCGCCCACACTGGGCAAGGCCGGCAGCTTTAGGTTTTTGCAGTCTAGCAGACAGAGGGAACCTTGCGGCGTAAGGTGCTCCTCGCCTTTTTCGGCAGCACGGAAAACTACAATACCCAGGAGGTTCTGCTTCGCGTACCCTTGACCTCCGGACCAATGACAGCCCAGGATCTCGCGTCCATAGGCGGTGGGGGCGGGACTTCCGGGCTGTTTGCCACTAACGCCATTTGCTTCAGCCCGGCGGTCCCTGGCTGTTTGTTTAGGGAGCTTTGGGGCCGTGACCCTTCCCGGGCGCCTCGCGAGTACCGAGCTGGGAAGGAGACTAGTAAGCCCCGTCGGGGCCCCCCTATAAGGCGCCTGTTCCCCGCGGCGTCTCGCCACCTGCAGTCCCGGACCGGCCCGCCCGTTACGGCGGCCAGGAGGAGGACACGCGGGGAACCCAGGGCGGCGCGCGGGGTCCGGGATGGCGGCGGCTGCGTTGCTGGACCACTCGCGGGTGAGTGGGCAGGGGCTCCATCCTGTTCCCGCTCCGGGAGCTGTCCTTTGGGCTGTCCCGAAGGTGCTGGGTCTCTGCTGAGCTCCCCTTGGGTCCCCGGATTTGAGGAGTCTGAACTCAGGGACGGGAGCCTGTGACCCGGCCAGGAACACGGCGAGTGGTCAGTTGTGGGGCTTCCCTGGGGAGAGTCCAGGGCGATGGGGACAGCAATCTGGTCCTGTCATCTCCCACTCCGGTGGTGTCAGGGATGAAGGCTCTGCTCTGTCCGTGTTTAGGGGTGACTGAAATGGAGTTATTAAAAGCAAGTGAAAATGCGTCCCCACTTCCTAACTCAGGTTCACTTTGGTGTTAAGTGTCAGGGCTGTACTGTCAGGCCTTGGACCAGAGCCCGTCACAGTAAGATGTGTGAGTCCAGGTGCATTGAGGAAGCTCCTCCAGCCCCACGCCATTTGCCAGTTCATGAGGATGATGACGATGGAGAGAGAATTAAAACTGTCCTCTGCTGAAGGTGTAGCTCCGGTGTAGAGCACTGGTCAGCCTTGGTGAGGACCTGAGTTCATTCCATGGCATCACGAGGAAAATTAAAGCAGAAAATGCTCAAAGCATGCTAAGCAAAGTCTCCTGTTTTTAAATCTCACAAGTGTGATTGCTGAAGTTGGAACTGTTACTGTTTCAGTCCAAAAGTCTAAGCATAAAGAAGTAAAGTGATATCAGGGTAGAAAGGCAGGTAAGTGCCAGTGTCAGGAGTTAGGGTTTAAGAGTTCAAGAATCTGACTTAAGAGCTGGGGACTTGTAGTCACTTTAAAGAATGTGACGCCCTCAGTGAAGAACAGGCACCTCGCTGGAGTGGGGAGGCTTGGGTGTTGCTCTGGAAGCCATTGTTTCTTTATTTCTGTGGTGTCCTACGGCCCTCCCTGTCCACACCTCGCAGCCCACCATTGTCCCATTCCTCCTTCTCCCTTGGGCTCTTTACTTACTGAATTCTTTCCGAAGGAGTGTCTCCTCCCCTTGAGCTCAGCACAGAACATGGCCCACAGGAAGTGTGGTACCAGCAGGGCTGTGCTCTCCCTGTCTCTGGTGTTTCTAGCCAGCCACATCAGACAGCCCGTCCAGGAGCTGAGGTCAATTCTAACACTTCTGCTCAACTCCAGGTGCCTGTGACCTTCGAGGACGTGGTCGTGACCTTCACCCAGGAGGAGTGGGGGCAGCTGGACCCAGCTCAGAGGACCTTGTACCAGGAGGTGATGCTGGAGAACTGCGGGCTCCTGGTCTCACTGGGTAAGGCCACCTCCCCCTTCAGAGCAGTGGACTTGGCTGCAGGCTGGGCTGGTCACGAAGGCTGCTGGAGCCTGCCCTGCTCCTGCTCACAGATTCAGTCTTGTCCTACACTCACGTCTGCCAGGCTTGTCCTCCTGTGTCTCTGGGTGGGAAATATTTGGCTCCCAGGGTGCTGTGGAGGGGAAGGGAGTGGAAGAAACCAGAGGCAAGATTTCTGGTCAGGCTCCAGGAGGGACTGAGAACCACCAGGATTACAGCCTGACTTCTACATTGGCCTGCTTATGTCACTATTAATGATAACATTTTTCAGCCAAGCATGGTGCTGTACCCCTGTAATCTCAGTACTCTGGGAGGTTGAGGCAGAAGGATTGCAAGTTCAAGCCTTGCCCAGGCGACTTAGCAAGACTTTGTCTCAAAATATAAATGTTTTTAAAAGGGCTGAGGCTGTAGCTCAATGTAAAGGCCCCAGGTTCAGTCCTCAGTATTGGAAGGTTGGGGGGTTTCTACCTGAGCAGGATTGCTGCGTGAGAGCCACCATGGTCCTTGTTCTCAGTGGTCCCAGAGTTCTGATCTATCCTTCTCTGCCTGTTTCTGGTTTCCTTTCTCTGTAGCTGACCTCTGGGCATCCTTGAGACAGATGTCCCCTCCCTGAGTCACCTGGTACCCTGCACAGGCTGGCCTCTACCTGAGCTTTGGAGTAGCTGCCTCATTCTGGTTGGCTTAGGTGCCCCCCACAGGCCAGTTTGTAGGTCTAGGGGGATGGGACATTCTGCAATAGGGCGGCGAGGGCATTTTCCCTCAGAACTACTAGCTGTTCTCTTTCTTTTAAGTTCTTTTTGTTTTTCTTTGATGGTACTGGGAATTGAACCCAGGCCCTTAGCACTAAGCTACATACTCAGCCTGTTTCTTTTCTTTCTTTAAATTTTGAGACAGAGTCTAAGTCACTTGAGTTGCCTAGACTGGGCTCAAATTTGGAATACTCCTGCCTCAGCCTCCCAGAGTGCTAAGATTATAAGTGTGTGCCACCACGCCTGGCAACCTGATGTATTTCTAAATAACCTTGCAACCTTGTGACACACAGCACTGATCACCATCCCCAACAGAAGTTATCAGAACCTCAATGACAGACCGTTTGAGGGGTGCGTGGACAGTTCCTCTCCTGGCACTGAGGAGGGCGCCCTGGCAACTTGAGGCCATTCCTTGAAAGTCTGAGTGCTGAGTTTTAAACCATTCTCCTTTCAAGCCCTCCCTTTTCAACAGAGGGGGCATCCTGAGGCTCAATGCCTTGGCAGGCCCTGAGTTTGCTGGGAATGGACAGCATGCCTCCTGCGTCTCCACGGTGGCTGGGTTGTCCCTTTATCAAAACGATGCAGGATTCCCACGGAGAAAAGTGAGATTGGTCACCTTTAAGAAGAGTAGTCAGGAGTCGTGGTTGGTGTGTGTTCCCTGGGTTAAAGCAGGCTTTATAACTACCAGTAGCTCAAGTTTAATTTCTGTATTCTCTGAAATGTTTTAACTTCTTAAAAACATGAAACTAAACTAAAAATTATTACTATTATGAAGTGGGAGAAGGAAAGTAGGAATGTTACAGTTTCCTGACTAAAGACATATTTGGCAGATTAGTTTTGAGAAAGACCATTCATGAAAGTAAAGGATATTTAAAATAATTTATTTAAAGCTCTCCATGTCATTCTGTATGTGGAATTGTATCTATAATTATAATGCTGTCTGCATAACATTTTTTGTTTCTTCTTTGGTCCTCTCTGAGAACCTTCTGTTCAAAAGTATTCCGTAAATGTCCTGTTTACGTTTTCTAATGAGCTTTTCAATGTAGCATAACCTTAGGTTAAAAACAGTGCCAGCTGCGTGTTCCTAACACATTAATCAGCAAATAGAAGACTGGAGCATAAAAGAACACGTGTCTGGTCATTGATTAAAATCCTCTCCACGGTGCTTAGCAATGTTTTCTAGTCTGGGCAGAGTAGAGATCTTGCATGTGGTGCCCATGGAATCTATAGATATTTGATGAGTTTTGGGTTTATTTTTCCGGACAGATAATTTTTTAATTTTAAATTATTTTGCTACTAAGAGAAATAAAAATGAGTTTTTTTAAAAAAAAGGGCAGTCACTGCTGGCCACTGTGTTGGCACAGGCATCGTGTGGGTGCCAGGCCCGTTCCAGACCCCCCCAGTCCCAGGACTTACAGCAGAGGAAGAAAAACAGGGCTGCAGTGAGTCCCTCCTGCATCCTGCGAAGCTGGTGCTGGCACTGTTGGTGATTTCGGTAATAAAGTGCTTTTGTGGATAATATGATGAGAGAGAATGTTGATGTTTCTGTGAACATCTTTGGTCTGAATACTGAACAGTTTCCAAAGTTCCCAGTAGAATATGTTTTAGTGGTTCATAAAATGCCTCAGTCCTAAAGATGGGGTGCAGCTCGGTGGCAGTGCAGTTACCGTGCATGTAGAGGTATCCAAGGTCTGAGGTCCAGCCCTGCAGGAAAAAACTGGCAGAAGCATTTCCCTCTGGCCCCATCTAGCCATTCTGGCCCTTCCCTGAGGCTGACTCTTTCCGCTCTGAGCCCTGGAGGTGTTTCCTCCTTGTGTGGTGCGTGGAGGAGCCATGCCTGGGCCGGGCTGTGAGCCTGGCTTGGTGCTGAGCCTGCCCATCCCTTCCTGTGCTCAGATGTGGGGTTTCCATGTCCGAGTGGAAAGGATTCAGAAGAATGCTGAGACCAAGCTGTACCCGGCAGCTGCTATGAGCTCACCGGCACCAGTACTTCTTTGTGGTTCCCGTGAGGATCCAGATTCCTGTCCTGCCTGGACTTGAAGCTTCTGGGCAGTCAGCTCTGTATGAACAGCAGAGAGCAGAGATGGTCGGACCCGGGCCTCCTCCCCTGCCTGGGCCCTGGTTTGTTCCCTGTGAAGTGGTCCTGATCACCACGCGAGGCCACAGGGTGCTGTGAGAAGATTCTGAAACAGTCCGTGCTTAGTCTCTGACCCACAGAAAGCGCCATGAAACTTAGCTTGGATCTCTCGGTAGAGGCACTGGTCATCATAGATGTACCCTACTGCGGTGTAGACAGTGTGCGTGCTGGAGTCTGAGTCCAGCGTGGTGAGCTGAGCTGCTGAGATCTGTATGCAGTGGAGCTCAGATACAACTCGCCAAATTAGCCTCTCAGAACACACAGCCAGCCGGGGGTTTAGCTCAGTGCAGCGGCTGCCTTCCTCGCAAGTGCAAGCACCCGAGTTCGATCTCCGATATCCCCCACCCCCAAAAAAGAACGCACAGCCAAACAGTGCTTAGGCACGTGTCACCAAGCCATGGCCCCTACAGTGAGACTCAGGAGTCAGTGCTGTTGAGGCGGATGGCCCTGTTTTGTTAAGAAGAATGAAATACCTCAAATGTTAATTTCTCTGCCTAGAAAATATTGCTAGGGAATTTGAGAGGCTTAAATTGGGAAATAAAAAATTTGGAAGTTCAAAATAGAGACTATTGAGAACCTTTGTAATGGTGGTTATCTCTGGGTTTTGATATCCGAGATTGTTTTTTCTTAGCTTTTTAAATTTGATGGCTTCTTACACCCAGTATTTGTTGTTTTTATGTACCAGTGGAGAAATAAAAGAAACATACAAAAAAAATTAAAAAATAGAAGTAGAGCCTAAGGTTGGGTGCAGCTCAGTGGTAGGACATGTACTTGAGGCCCTGGGTTTGTACACCAAC